CTCTTTTGGAAAACTATAGGACAAAATAAACTTTAAATCAGTGCAATTTTGCAGGTTTTGGCAAACAATATTATTTTGCATACAGTCATTTGAAACTAGGGCTACAACTTCCATTGAAGAACCTTATTGGTTCTTGCAGAAACAACCATACCACGGTTTCAAGTCAGCTAGTCAAAGGTACATTTTTCAGTCTGTTTTTTCAGAATTTTTCAATTCATGTTGCCCTGAGCAAAACAGAAAATGTTTTTAGTTTAGAAGATTTTCCCTTTCTCTTTATTTAATCCTAGAGAAGAAAAATGGCCTGATCTTGGAAATATTTAATGCTGTGCCTTAATCCTTCATACTCAAAAAATGTTTACATTTGGGTCTCATGAGTTAATTTGCTGAAGATAAATGGACAATTAGTCTCAAAATAATTTTTTTTTATTTCTTCTTAGAGGGGGAAATATGCAGGAATATCTTCTTTTCTAAACCATTCATCAGTGGATTCCAGATTAAATTATAGCAATTGTTATCTGTGAATTTGACCAAGGATTTGGAATTTAAAAGTTAAACAGAAAGAGTGATTTCCTAGACTTCAGAAGATATCTTTTCACTTACACAGTTGTTTAACACTTTTGCTAGCGGTGAAATTCATACAGTTCATCTGATAAGGTCTGCTGCTGCGTGTTAACCGAGAAAAAGGTGTTACAAATGAATATGTGTTAAGAAGCATGTGTAACCCCAGAAATGCCATCTGTCTTAGCATAGTTTGCATTTTGTAATTTACCTCACCCAAATAAGATTTCCTAACAAATTCTTGAACAGCATAGAATCCTGGTTTGGATCCCCTGAGAGGTTGCATTACTTTCCATCCTAAATATGTTATTTTATGTAACATGTCATTGGGTAGTGGACTGCCAAAAATACTCTGCGTCCCACAGAACTGCATTGTAGCTTTTCCTTCTTTCCATGGTCATTACCTTCTTCCTGGCAGCATCATTCATAAGCCTGAGATTGACTGTAATGTCTCTGCCAATCCTGCTTCACATTAGCAGGCCAGTTCTGCTCCAGATTACACCGATTTTACAGACATCCATCAGGTACCGATGATGGCTGTTACTGAAAAGATTATCAGGCATTTACTGTTGTTCAATGCAGTCCATACCTTCTTCAAAGCTAAGCTAATTGTTTAGCTAATTGTGCTTTAAAGCACAGGCTGACATAATCACATGCCACTGGTTTACCATCAGGATAGCTTCAGCTCTTTGCATTGGCTAGAATATACTTCCAGCAGCAAATTGGAAATATCAACCCTCTGTTATTCTAGGTCACTTAAGGAGTATATATTCAGACATTGACTATGTAAATCTCATAACTGAGTAATACTCCATGCCATGTATTTAAGAGACGTTTCTTAAACTGTCACCAATACTTACGCAGCAGGATGTGGAAACTTCTATTCATGCTTTGGGTTCCTCTGACTTCTCAATATTAAGTTTCAGAGGTAGTTTAAGTATTTTATAATTACCTATGTAGCAAAAGAAGTGCCTGTTCTGGTCACCTAATGTAAGTGAAGGGGAGGAAGAGCCAACGCAAATCTGGCAGTAGGCAGCTCTGTCAATTTTTGCTCGGGAAGAGGTCCTCCAGCCTCTACAATGGAGGTGACCTCAATGAAGGATGTGGAGCAGGTGCCTTCCCTAACAGTGCTAGGTCAAGGACCTCTGGGAATTACAAATAGCGCGTGACTTGGAGGCGGGTTGAGGAAAGGAAAATAGGGCAACGGAAATTAGAATTGCATGAACAACGGAGTTTCTCTTTGGTGACCCAACTGAAAAATTAAACCAACTCAATTCATTTTGGGTCAGCCCAAAGCACTTGTCCAACTCAAAATGAAAAAGCTCATTTTACTTTCAAATTCCTTTTCAACCTTTGAAAGAAAATGTACATGAAATTCTAAACCAATACACTATTTTGAAGCGTAAAACTGAAATATTTTATTTAGAAAATGTCAGAACGAAACATTTCAGCATTTTCCTTTTTTGAGCTGCACCTATTGCCTGAACTGAAACCCAGCTTGCCTGACTGAAACTACATCTTTATTTTCTTTTGGTCAGTAATTGTTTGTCCCAGACATTTCCCCTGGTTGTAAGGGAAACCACCTCGGACTTCTGCTTCCTTTGTCTGTTCAAAACTGACCATCACCCGCCATCCTTCACACACTCACAAGTCACACGTGCCCTGCAAGAAAACCTATAAAGGAAATTCTGCAAAATTTGCTGTGTGGCATTTCCAGGGCTCCAGCTCATGAGGTTTCCATGGTAGAGTCTTCCAGCTGGTGGTTTTCGGGGTTGGAGAAGTTAATAAACAATTGACTTCGTTTTTACACTTTTGTGGACAAATGGGTTTTCATCTGGGTTTAGCCCTGGTGTGGAAAGCTTGAGAGATTGATTTGACATTTCTGGGTAGGGCAGCTCAACAAGGACAATGTGGAAGAGGCCTAAAGGAAGTAGAAGAAGGAAATAAGTTAATTATCCGTTTGTGAAGAGATGATATCAACGAGGAACAGCATGTGTGGTTCACGGTCTAGTCGCTATTTATAATCAAGGAAGAAAACAGGTACTTTTAGGGCAAAGTTATGTTATTCTGTCCAAAGGCACAATCTTTATAAACCTCTAATGTAGATGAGATGAACGACACACGGATAATTCCTATTACCCTCCATTGACTATAAAGGGAGCCTCATGTAGCTTGGGGATAGGCTGTGTCAGTGAGATGAACTCCCCATTTGGTGCTTAAATTCCCTTCCTCTGCTGTCAGCTGTCGCAAGTTTGAGTGGTAAGAGAAAGGATGTTGGCCAACAACTCTTGACATCATTGTTTATCCCACAAGAAAGAAAAAAAGATCCGACTGAATATAACAAAAGGTTAAACCTCTAACACTGTAATGTGGTACAAAATCCTGGCTGGCTGTCACTGTTGGGTCACTTCTGCCTTGACTGTGAACAGGCATGTAATTCATATGTTCTGAGATGCAAATGAGAGTGTGGAGCAAAGTAAACCATGTTGATTGTATCTAGTTTGACAGGTAACAGGCATCCATCACCCAGATGGATTGTATGCCAGTCTAGTATGTGAGTTCTCACAAGAAGGTGTTTCAATTTCAGTTCTCATAAACCTTGTTCAAATTAGGTATGGATGGACGCTTTTATCTCAAAATTGCTCTGGTTTAGGAATGAACATGGGATAGTTTAATCCCACTTCAATGCCGTCTAACTTCAACAGCTGATGTAAGACACGTTGAGATTAACTATTTTTGGACTAACTTTAATTTCTCTTTGAATTTAATTGATGAAGCTACCAAGGTAGATCAAGGTAGATTTCCTGTCAACATTTTTCCCATATTACTGTATCTGTTCATGGGGTGTCTTCTAGATATCCTTTTAGCAAAATTTTTTCATATGGATGTCCCCAATATGCCGTGTTTGCAGAACTTCACCCTCCTCACCTGCACTGCCACCCCGAGTCTTTTATTTGAGGACATACTTTTTTTTGGTTTCAGATGTGGACAGGGTGCCTGTTGCCCTGATGAAGAAATAGTAAAGCCTTGCTCAAGAAGTCTTCAACAGTTGCTGACAATCCACTATTATATGTTTCCTCTGGCTTTCTCACTATTTGGATGCTTTTCACCTCTTTAACCTTGGTCCAGCCACCAATGTCCCTGGCTGAACCAGAGCAACTCCTCTGTCTTTGCCCAGGGGACATTGCTGAAGGACCTGATAATGATGGGTTAAACCGC